AAGGATTACGGGTTGAGGCTAAAGGATTGCGGGTTTTGGCTAAAGCTTGATGGGAAAAGGTGTACTTGAATTTGACCCTTAACCGGATACTGCAAAGTGACGGTATCGCCGTTAACGGTCGACTTTTAGCAGCACATAATAATAATAATCTCATGTGGGTAATGGAGGATTTGGTTAAGTTTCAAATGACAATTCGTCGTGTATATGGCAAATGAAGCGTGAACTGAAAAGCTCGGAAGCACTGGACAGCTGTTTCGACCTGGTTGGGTCTCATCAGCAGTNCCCGACTGGGGATCGAACCCGGGACTTCATGGGCAGAACGCAAGCGTGCTACCCACTACGCCACCGGGCAGCTGATCAGACCGTTTTTCATTTTCCATTTACACGATATAGCACAACCCATCTTTGAGAGTTTGTTGCGGGCCACGGACCCTGCTCCTTAAACAAGTCTCTCGATTACTTTTTAAGGATACACAATAACCTGATTCGCACCGCGTAGAAAATAGGAAAATAATGGTCTAAGCAAACACGATAATAAACAATGTTGTGGCAACCACTTCGTTTTCACAACGTGTGAATCTTTCCGATCATATTTTGAATAATATCGAGAATATTTCTGGATTAAGAAAACCCGAGGCTATTGAGCGAACACATTTTCATCAAATAATGTGGAAAATTAACTCACCACCAGCAACAAGAGTTTTCCATGCCTGCCCAGATTTCTTTTCCTCCTCAGTAAAATCATCCGGCACGAGCATGTCCTCACCAATATCGATAGCCGAGGCCCGTTTCCAATATTGAAATATTTCATCGATACGTGAGGTCCCACTGAACAACAAAAAGTTCCGCCATTCTTCGAAATCAATATTCAACGAGCCGTCTTTATCCATGCGACCTAGAAGCTTTTTCGCATCGTCCAAAGAAATGTGTACACCAAGATCTTTCATCGCCGAACGGATCTCCTCGGCATCCACCACGGAGTCCTGATTGCGATCCAGTTGTCGGAAAGCCAACCGCAGCTGGGTCTCAGTATCCTTGATGTAGGCCAAAAATTCATTAAAAGTTAATGTGGATCGATTTGCCTCATTCTTCGTGCCTCGTGAAATGATGCGCTTTGCTGTCTCTTCGTGATGCTTCTCACTTTCTGAAGCACCCCTAATCACTCGAGTCAATTCAGCTACGCTAACCCGACCATCTTTGTCTACATCGAGCTCCGAGAACAGTGCAGCGATACGCTGACGGTCGGCGTCACTCAGACCAGCCATGTGTGTTTTGGCCTAACCGGTTGGTCGATTTGCAAATTCCCGGTTGGCACGTGCCAATTCACTCTGGTCTGGCCTTCTGTTGCCGAATCAATGTACGTAAACAGACAGGCACAGCACGTGAACATTTGCATTGGCTAGGTAGATTATACCGACAGGTAACTTGGACCAATAAGATAAAGGCAAATCTCTCTTACTGTTGCAACCAATGTGTGGCTAAACCGGGTTCGTGGCAAATGGATTAATGTGCGTTTGCGAGGTATGCTGCCTGGAATAAACACCAAATAAGGGTATTTAAGGACATTAAGCAGAAGACCGGTTGTTGTTTTCGTGAACAAAAAAGTTGATTGTATAAAAATATAATATTCTTTAAAGACAACCATCCAAAATACAATTATTTCACTGACTTTCATTCGCATGATACATGTTTTGAGAAACTTAAATTGGAAATCATTTGTTATCAGTGTGCACCGATTAAAAAACCTCAAATAAGTAAAACCTTTATTGCATGATTCACGGGTTTCGTGTTTCACTGTATGCACTTCAACGCCGCTCTCAAGTCTTGAAAAGCATTACAGCAATCAGCTTTATTTCTTCATCATTCTCTATTCTGTGTAACGATACAGGTCTTTAGGAACCTTAGCTGATTCACGGTAATAATAATAATAATATCACTAATAATAGGGAGATGAAGAATAGTTCAATTGATGTTGTTTGGTAGATTAAACTACTGCTTTGATTTGAAAGAGGTTCGGTAGCCGCGGTGGGATTTGAATTCAAGCATGGAGGCCGCCTACGGTTTTGCGCAACACACGTTCTACCAGCTGAGCTATTGGTGTGGCCTCGTAGCTTAGCTGGTACATTGTGCGCTAAACACAACTTTAGGTTGCGTCTATATGTAGGTATTAATACCACCTAGGGTATTGAACTTTCACAACTCGTAACAATAATAATAATAATAATAATCTGTTTACGTCCATTATTTCATTTGCTTACCCTAAACACTCCAAATAGGTATCACAAAATAAACCCCTCGCTTTAATAACTTAGCGAAGAAAAGGTAAACACATTTCCGACGGAGTCACTTTTATTCCTCTTCATTAATATATACGTAAAGGAAAAAAAGTGCTATTCATTTCGAAATGTGTCGTGGTTCAGTTAATGTAAACGCGATGAACCAAACAGAACACATTAGTTTGATATTATTTCTTATATGAATAAAATTTTAGCAGGCCATGAATTTGACTTATTTTGAATGGAATTTTTATAGTTCCCCATTTTCCCTTCTATTTGACTAGAGTGATTATGATTTTGGATCGATAAGTTCTGCGATATTGATTCAGCGGTGTTTCATTTTGCATGTTTAATATTCTGTTTGACTGCTTTAAAATGTTTTACTTCCTTTGAGAATTGATTTTGTTGGCCTGCAGTTGTGACATTCTCCGTGTGTGAATAATAGTTGGAACCTTCTTTGTTCCCTCAGTATTTGAGTACAAACGTTTTTTCCTGTGCTTTTATACACTACATCAGTAATAACCATTTTCAGATACAAACAATGACAAAAATATGAGCAAAGGATGTTATTTTCATAGATGACAATCCAATGAACAGCTTAGTAGGTGCTTGCAGTTAGATTGGCTAAAGCACCAAACTGGAGCCTAGATGCCCTAAATTGTCCAATATCATTTCAAAAACTTCCACACCAAAATCAACCTCATTGACACGGTTTTTACTATTATAATCAGAAAATGAGGGTTGCAAATCTTAAGTTAATTGCTCAGTTCTCTGTCTTGTGTACTTCACCCACTCCGATTGTTCATAGCGTTACCATCTTCTTCTCTTAAGTTAACTGAAAAGGCAATACTCCAATGCTTTAAGCAGTCTGTAAACACTCCCAATGAACTTGACAGTTTGCTTACAAGCTAAAGATCCTTTGTTTAGACGCAATTACCACCATTACTCATTTTATCAGTTTCTTTGGACAATCTTGTTAAGTCTGTTTCGTGTTTTTTCTTGACTACTCTTCAGCGTTTGATTCCGTTCCTCGATCAGAGTTGTTACATAAACTGGAATCGTTTCAATGCCCCAAGCAGTTGTCAGCTTGGCTATCCAACTATCTCCCTGATAGAGAACAAACCATTAGTTTAGGCAGGGCTTCATTGAGAACCCTCAGTCAACAACTCCGGAGTTCTTCAAAAGGTGTGCTATCTCTACACTTATTTTCCACGTACATTTGTCATATTCCTTGTTGCTCCTGCACATGTCTGGAAATATACCGATGACGTTGTGCTATGCCAACCTATTTCTTCTTAATCCAATCTGAGCTCCCTCACCAACAATCTTGATTAAATTCAGTCATTGTCCTTCGTAGTTGGACTAAGCCTAAAAACCAGTAAATGTGTTGACTGTTTTTATAGTTCTGCACACTCTTCATGTCCGACAGATTCCACAATGATTAATAACAGTCCTTTATCTTGGGTGAACCCTGTCAAATATCTTGGTGCAACCATGGCTAAAAATCTTCGTTGGTCAACCCACATCCATAACAGCATTGGTAAGTGTGGTGCGTATCATTTAAAATTCGAAATGTCAGGAAGTTTCACCTATTCCAGTCAGTTATTTCCACCTTTGTGTATCAATGTGTTTTTCCCCATCTTAATTCATTGTTCCCCAGTTATTTTTCCTGGTTTAATTAAACAAGATTTCAAAGTCTTACTCCACGGTTTAACTATTACTAGCCGCATTTTTTCTTGTCCTGTGAACCGGTTCACCATGAGACTTTCAGATCATCATTCAACCTCCTAGGTCACATTTGCAGAGAGCATTCTCACAGATTCTGATCACCCATTTCACTTAGAACTGACAGGTTGTCGTTACCATCCCTCTATCTGCTATTAACTCCGGAAGATTTCATCTCTTATAAACGCTTACCGGAATTCACCAATACTTTCTCATGCACATTTACTTATAAAAACAGAGAGGGTAAGAAGTGAACCTCGGCTCAACCTTGAATAATGAATGATCCCCATGTCTGTAAACTTTTTCTGCGCGTTGATTATGTTATTTGTGACGGTTTGCGTGAATGGTATTTTAACTGAATTGTAAGCTCCAGTGCTTGCAAAGTTGTATACAACACAATACAATCTTCCGGCCCGTATCATTCCCTCTGACAGTGTTTGCCACTCACCGAAGTTCGTTGCAAAATAGCAGAGGAGTTCAACACCAAATCAGTTGCAGATTCTGAAACCCCTTCAACATCCGAATCGTGGACCCTTCATATTGAGGACTCTCCTTCAAGAGGGTTAATAAGCTTATCTTGTAAGTGGAATGAACTCCCATTAATTCATGTTTCCTGCATGTCGGAAACGCGAATTCAGCATTCTGGCACTACAAGCCAATTAAATGCACCATATTTTACCTAGAAATAATTCCTCCTCACATCAGATGACGACGGAGGTCACTCACTAGTTCAACGTATAGTGTGTATTGTACATGATAATAAAACCGAAGCTTCATTTACCTCTTGGTAACCCGTTAACAGCCTTTTGTGTGCGATGCGGCTCCACGGACCAATCAGTGTCCGGAAGGCAGGCAACACCGAAACGTGGTTTTCACTGTCTAAGCTCTACTGTTACCCAGTTAACTGATCTGTTGAGGCCTTACCTAACCTGAAAATCCAAGTATCATAATCTTGGTTACCGGTTTCCTTCTCACAACATGAATAAAATAGTACGAGATCGTTGACGCTCTCGAGCTCGCTCTAGACTCCCTCAAAGTAAACATAAACCCATTACGCTGACCAACATTCGCGGACTGAAATACAACATTGATTCTGTACAACAATTACTCCATTATTTGTCTCCCGCACAACCTATTTTTGACCGAAACACCAATTTCTCTCACGTCAAACACCGCCTACCTTCGGGGGTCCAACTACAGCTTTCACTCTTAAGGAAAACTAATATCCACGAACGGCACGCATTATTCCGGTTGGTTTGCGGCTGTATCCACTAAATCTTCAAGTTGCGTCAATCCCCCCTATACGTATTGTGCTCTCTGACCTACAAGGACCTTCCAACTGAGTTAACCGCGAAGCAATACGACAAAAGTAATTAAACATATTGCGGTAGCTGTACTTTGCACAGTGGCGGTACCGTAGCCAATGAAGTTTATCTGAGTCGCGGTTATTTGGGCGGTGGTATGTCACCAACTATCACCCCGGAGGACGAGTGTTTGAATCCCACCACCACCGCCTGACTTTCCCCATTTGTGTGTTGTATGGCAACCCTTTGATTGGCCGCCCCCCCCGTTCCTGAAGGTTGTATCTTCGCATACTCAATAAAAGGAAGTAAAAATGATTAAAAATGCACTCACATACTTCTGACCGAGTGAGAGTTCATAACGAGCTAAGTAGATCGTTCGAAACCAGGAGGGATGTTCGTAAAGAGTGCTCTATTGGGCTATTCCTGTTCAGTTTCGTCGTGGACGAAACACTTAAGAATTCACTATGTGGTCTCAAAATTGTTGGTTTAGAATGGGCAGTTGGAGAACAGCTTTGCAACCTAGTGTATACGGTGAGGGCATCATATGTCTTTACGAATGTATGGACGAAGCGCAAGGTGCACTTGACATATTGATAAATTCTGTTGCTCTGTTCCCTATGCGCTTTGCAACTTCAAGGTGATATTGCTAGATTGGATGATGAATAGTGTTATTTTGAAACTGGATGGTCAAGAAGTGGCTCGCGTTCACTGCTTTACCGTTGCATGGCATCGGTCGGTCAGTTCAGCTTCACGGTTGTCAGACCTTGAATCTGGGAGTTGATGTTCATTACCAGGAGGTTTACGGCAGTCACTGCTTACGTAGTTAGAATATCGGAATGAGGAAAACATTCGCTATTGCACCAAATTCAGACCATTCGTTTTTGTTGGTTCGGACACATTTGTACATGTTCAACGGTTGCCTACTACACAGTACTTTGATTGCATTTGCGGTTCCCGGCT